AGTGAAAAAAGACGGGATTAGCAGGCTTTCCTGCGCCCATTTCTTTTGTACCTGAGCCTCTGATTTCCACAACCTCCAACTGCTTCTTTTTAGTTTTTCGCAGTCTCTAGTCTTCTGAAAACTCTCTACACCAGGAGTCCGGCAGAAAGTTACTGTCACAGCTATCGTAATTTTCAATTGAACCCGCTTTGGCGACCCTTTAAATTTTGCAAGTAGATAATCATGATTGCAGAACCATCGATAGTGGCTTTGCCGGACGAACAAAGACAAAAATACAAAATAAAAATCGAAACTCAACCTTCAACTAAAATTATTCCATAAGAAGGCAAATTGTCCAATATAATTTGTCCATAATAGTACATGTTTATCTGATAAAATGCTGATAAGCGTAGAAGAAGCAATGAAAAGCTTATCGTACATTCGTGCTCTAGAAAGTGTCTACCCACCTCCTTTCTCGTCGAGATGCGACGCTGCCTATTTGAAGAAATAAGAATCACTCCAACTTTGATGCTCATTTGGAGCATTGTCGCTGTTATTTTAAAACTTACCCTCCCCACAATATGGCGCAATCTACGACGACATTTTCCCTGCTTCTTTAACAGCACTTTCTAGCCACAAGCGGCAAATGCCTCGCTCTTCGAACTCGCTTGTTACGCGGTATCGAAACGCAGTTTACTACTGTCGTACATTCCACATTTCTAAGGGATTCTCCCCCAGTGGCCACCAGCCGGATTCAAGCCTAACAGTGGCTGCACGAGGAGCCATAAGGCTATTAACAAGCCTAGAGGAGCGACAGGATTCATAATTTAGCCTGTATGAAATAGAAGCTTATACTGATGCCCCGCACATGCTGGTGACACGACAGAAAAAAAGAGGTGCATTGATTTTCCGGACTTGACTTGTCCTCCTTGTGCAGTGTCGTTTTGATTACAGTCACTCTACTAAAAGCTAACACAAGTCATGTGCACGCTCACCCTGCTGCGGCTTGAAGATCGACTCACATGCAGCCCCTCGCGACGCAGCGGTTACACCAAGACACGCTGGGCCTGTGTATGATAGTCATCTGGAGTGGTAAACGCAACAGCACAACGAGAGGAAACGTGCTGTCGTGATCGGGTGCGACGTTCTTGCGGCAATTTTTCACTGCTACAGCTATTACAACAGTTTCGGTTACAAGTGTAGACGAAACGTTGCAGTGACAACTAACACGATTTGGTAGCACCAGTGAAAACGATTGTTGAAAACAATAGTCAAACAACAACCCCGCACAAGGGTATGGCCATCAATGCGACAGAGTTGCGTCAACAGCGCGTCATTTGCAATATGGCGAACTATATAAAGGTACCTGCTGAGCCCATTAAGCCCGGTGTCGTCTGACAAGAAGCTTACTTTGCAAACATGGAAACAATACAAGATCTACGTTCGTTTTCCCCGCTACGCGTCAATACTATCATCTCTACAAATTATTTACTTTGCTTGAATCGTTGGGTCAACGCATTTAACGAGCTTGAGAGAAATTCTTACTAAACACCGAAGTATATCATTATTGCCTCCACAACAGTAGACGCTTCACAGCGCTCTATAAGAGCTCTGTCTATAAAAATATATAAAAGAATGCGATGAGGTGCACTAAACGAGGCTAGACTTGTCATTATTTGATTCTCATGTTCCGTCGTTCGCTAAGCTGAATTTTGTTCGAATCATTGCGTTTTTGCCGTCAGTGTATAAATGTGTTTAAGCTGTTCCAATTGTCGCAGCAGTACCATGAATGAAGAGCCAAGGGCTAGGCATTAACCTTAATGATGACCCTAATGGGTGATAATGGCGACGCTTCCAGTAATAATGCCAGTGATCTTCACTCTTATCCTGGTGGTAGGACCAAGGCGAAGAGAAAGTCTAGGGGTGGGGAGTGCGAAACCCGAAATTCCCCTTGCAGGACAGTTATTGTTATAATAGGAGCACGAAACAGAGCAACTGGAAGAGAGGCTGAGAAAGTGAATTACTGAAGGATCATCGCTGCTGGTCTTCTCTCTACTATTGGCCTTTGCTGAGAAAATAGAACAGAAGAAAAGACGGAAACCTTCTTTTGCTCGTTATATACACGTCGGTGATAATTGTGCGCTTATCTGGAATGGAGAAACGGGATATAGAACACTAACCTAGTGAGATCGCTGCGGAACCAACGGCTAGAATAAGCTAAGGCTAGAGCAATTGCCGGGGGAGGCAGAAAGGCAAGGCGACTACACGACGAATGCAATGATACGGCAAGCCAACTCACCTTTTCGTGGCCCGTCCTAGCCAATAAAAGCAAGGAATGAATGCAAGGGGTGCGAAGAGTATCTGGTGAAGCTACACTAGTAGAAAGACACTTCAAACCGTCATTTACTGTATCTCTCTCTTCGCCCTTCACCCTGTAGCCTCCTGGTCCGCCAAATGTTCCTTGCGTTTCTGCAAGTCGCTGATAGCACCAGCAATTCCGCAGCTGTAATTCCGTCGCACCACTGACGCTCAACCGGTACGCCAATCTCACAAAGGAATGCTTGGACTAAAGTTTATGGACCACGAGGAAGCATCGCCCGAACCGCTCTTATGAGTGTCATAGCTACCGAAGTCACGCTATTGCTTTGCTGGCCAAAAGACTAGATGGCAGGCCAGAAGGATTGACCAAATCCTGCTGTCTGCTGTCAAGGCAGAAATCACGGGGCATCTATCGTGTTGCTCTTTGTAAACCACCCTTATGATCTCAGCCTCCTTCAATTCTCAGACAGGCCGTGCTTTGCTACATTTTGCTGGCGTTGCTTAACGATTTCCTTCTGTTTTCTATTACACGTTGACTCTCCTTCTATACCTCTAATTCCTGTTGCTACTGTGCATAGCGGTTTTCTTCAGCTTTCCCCCTGCACAGTCTCCTCTAAACCTCAGTTTGGTGTACGCTGTTTTCCTCCACTATATACCATGACGTGGAAATCAAGAACCGGTTGGAAGGTCACACCTCTCAGCGTCCACCGTTGCCACCGCTCGGCATACCTTGTTTTTCGTTTTTTTCATATCACTTCTAGCTTCCTTAAACTTTCTTGGTTGGGTTAAGAAATCACACAACAAGAAGTAGCGCGATTATTTGGAGCAGAGACGACGGTTTGAAGGCGAAAACAGCACCATAGCACTTTTCTGTATCCCTGTCCAAAAGTCCCCCCTTGGCCCTGCGCCTTATCTCAAACAGAAAGAAGGCCAGGAAAACGGTTCCACCTTAGCCTATCCACACCGGCCCACTCCGCTACCGAACAGTGTCGGGCGACTACCTCCACTGATGTTAAATTGCCCGGAACGGTGGACAACCAACACAGCGACTTCTGCAAAGTCAACATCCCCAGTAATCGGCCGTCGACCTATGCGATATAACGGTACATTGTCCATGGCGTAGTTGGGTCGTGTACCGTCTTATAGGGGTCGGTGTATACAATGCCAATCGTCTACCACAGCCTGCCTTCGTATCCACAGGGCTGCTGACCAAGTCATGGCGCATCGACGGTTCGTTACCTGGTACTGGCATTTGCTGGGCTATCGCCTGGCGGACGCAACACCAGCACAGAAAAGAGGAAAAGCAGAAACGGGCATCAAGCTAAGGAACTACGATGAATCCGCCTCTTGTTGCCACCTGCCCGACACGAGTTCGCCTCGCCCAAATTCGGTGCGGTGCACTCAACGATAGGAAATGAACAGTATAAACTAAAGCAACATACAGATGGAACTGAATGCGTAAAGATAGAGTCCAGCTTCGATTGACGAAACGAACGAGGAGACTTTAAACGGTGTATATCGGTGACACTTGCTAAGCGAAAGATGTACCGTGCGTCGTCACCGCGCAGGAAAGGAAACAGTGTATAGAAGACATAGGATAGGGTTTGCTTCCGTCGACATTATCTTCAACCGAAAGCTCGAGCAATGATGGAACAGTACACGCCACTGAACACACCGGAGAAGTCTTTGTGGAAGAGATACGACGAGAAAAATGCTGCTGGTGCTCGACGGTTATCGTCCTGAGCACATAAAGGCTCAAGAGCAGTTTGAGCTAAGTGTACGCTCCCACGCGAAAACCAACAAAAAAAAACGTGCTGTCTCTGTGTCTACGGAAGGGGATAACGGAAGTTACGTTCGCCTTCTGCCTCTTTGTCGTACTCCTGTTTATGCAAGGACATTATGGGTAGCTTCTTTATATATACTTTTTACAATATTTTCCAACAGCAAAAGTAGCAGAGAGTTTTCACCACTAGTATCTTTACGTGTTTACGTTCATTGTTGTTGCGAAACTGACCGTCAATCAACGGCTGGGGATGGGGTAGCTAGTTCCATGCTGCCCAATTTGACTAGTGCTAGAAATTAAGCTCTTTCAATTTCGTCCTCTTTCCCTCAAAGTATGCTCTTTTCCTTCGACTCCCGCACAACGCCCAATGTGTCCCTTCCTTATAACCCAAAGAAAGTAAAGTTAGTTTTATCTTTTTCTAATGCCAGTGCATCAGCCTTCACTAGTGGAGTGCTCGATACGACATCAGCGTTACCTTACGAGGGCACCATCATTCTCTACATAACTTCTTGACACTGCCAGAAACGAACGAATGTCGGTTTCCAACATCGAGTTTTATCGTTACTCATAATAAACATTTAGAAGCAAGTCAAGTTTGCGATACTCCGCTGGAGCCAGAGGCGCAAGGCAGTACTCAGCCACGCACGCTCATAGCCCACCTGCATAGCATAGACATATATCACCTTTGAGCGAAAGAATTCAACATTCCAAACGGTACTCATAAGTCATAAGATCTCGTGTGGAAGGTCTATATCTACATGGCTACCTTCAGAACTAAACCTAAATGTAGATCTTAGAAATATAACCCCGTTACAACTATTTCTATTGTTCGTGCGTAAAACTATGTGCATTATACGAAAGTCACAGGTTTAATTTTTTTTTTAAATCAGCCTTCCTGTAATTTTATCTCTGTACGTACCTGTAACTTTATCTCTGATGAGCTTGCATGATTCAACTTCGCCTATCGAAGAGAATAGGGAGCGTATCTCCTCCTGCGTCATCGTCTGAGGCAGATAGTTGACGATGAGGTTTGTCTTTGAATCTTCAGCAGCCGCCTGTGCATTGGGCGAGTGCATCCCGTTGCTTTGAGGGTTACCGGGAGACTGCGTCGCTACTGATTGCGTCGCCGACTCCATACCGTTCATCTCGTATGCTGTAATGTAGAAGAAAAGTAACAAAAATATTGTCAGCTCAGTCTCTATATGTTTTGGGTTTCACACCCTAGTTAAACATAGTTTCAAAGGGCTGACTCTTACCAGCATGGAACAAAGTGTGTCTACACCCGGTGTCGAACCTATGTAGCCCGCCTATCCCCAATGAAGCAGGTTGCCATTGCGTCATTTTGGAAACGAATTCACTCTACAAGGGGGTAATGCTTCGACTATATGTTACGTGTATACATATCAAATGAACCGATAAATGTTATTTTGTTACTGACTATATTTTATTAGTAGGCAATCTGCCACCTAACTGGATACTTAGAGAGAAGCTTGTTTGAACATAAGAATAGGATAGCAGTGCCAAAACCAATACAGCCCACTGGCAAAATATAGCCTATTCTACAGCTGTTATTACATACTGTATTATGTGTAGAAGAAATGATGCTTACGCCGTATATATAAATGCTTTGCTACAAATAGTGTCTAGCTTGCTTTCCAATCTATCCAACCCCTATCGATAATAGCCTCTTTTTGTCGACGAGATAAGCTTGACTATCCAGCTGTAGACCCATATCATTATAGGATCTATTCCACCACAGTACTAGTATTAGTCCGGAACCGTTGCGACATCGACCCGACACGTACTCGCCGTACCCTGTTTCTTATATTAATAGACGCTTGCCTGGTCCAAAAACTTCGTGCACGATCGGCTTTCTGATCTGGGGTCTGTTGGTCTCTTTTCAAAATTCTTTATACAATGGAAATTCGGGGTGTCCGGGACTCGACCAAAGTCGATTGTCATCACTTCGTAATTCAACCAGATTTGTGGATGTTCTTGGGGGTATTGATGTCAGCATGAACGTCGCGTAAAGCCACCGGAAAAATCGTTTGCACTTCTCCTGTCGCTAGCGTTTGGTAGTTAGACGAAACTCGCTAATGTGGACCTCCATTGCCGTCCCTTCAAAGGCCTGGTAATCGCTAGGAGCGCTACCAGTTTAACGGATCGTCATCACCAGTCGAAGCAGCTATAGAAAAGCATTACAGCGACAGTGGCCGGAGAGGCGGGACCGCACCACGCTGTTGCCGGGGGCCGCTGGGGTGACATCAGACCAGTCAAAATGTCATCAGAGGCGGTGCACAAACTGGAGGAGGAGTCGGACCGGGTCGCCTGTCACCCGGTCTACCAACGCGCCTATAGAAACCGTGCGATAAGGGGTCACTGGGCTGCGGAGGGGGCTCTACTATGGACAATTGCTTCCTGATTCTCCTGTCCGACCAAAGAAACGCCGTCCGCTCGCTTGCCACGAATGCCGCCGAAGGTAGCGGTAGGAATGTCGGTGGGCAAATCAACAGCAACGGCTTGGCCAAACAGCTTACGAGTGCAACCCGAAGACTTGATATAGACCCCCAGTATATAGAGGAATGGCGTCGCAGGCAAGCACAGTACATCCCCTTCCTCTCGGAGGACCGCGAGAAACGCGACGCAGATCGGAGGATGTCGGGCGATCTGGGGGAATAGGCATATAAGATCGACAAAGGTGCCGGAACCTCCGTCACGGTTTAGTTGCACCACAGTCAGGAAATACCCAGGGCCGAATCTTGCTTGACAGCTACCGCAATCCACATGCTACAGTCGAATTCACAACCTACATGAAGACCCAGCGGCCTTCAAACTGATATGTTGTATTCGTCAGCATATGCTCCTTCATGCAGAGTTTACCTAAAGAGTATTTTCTTGCATGCCCTCGCACCACTCAGTGTGTCTTTAATCTTAAGTGGTTGTGTTGCGAAACTATCCACGACGTTTACAGCAAGCGGGGACGAAGTGGCCAAAAAATATTTTTAGTTAATAATCACGATTACTGTTTTCATCCAACTTCGGACACTACCTTCGATAAGAATGCCTCCAAAACATAACCATACCCTAAATAGATATCATACTAGACCATCGCTGATATGCTACTGCAATATTGCAAAACAAATAGCCGCTCGGCCTGGCTCAGTCAGCCATGCTTAGTCTTTTTCTGTTGGTAATCTTATATAATAACTTCTCATTAAGCGGCGATCGGGTGCGCAATGTTCGGTGTCATTCACTGACGTCCTTGGCCTACCTCGGAACACCGGTGATGGGGGTCAACGCGTCGAAAGTTGCTCCCGTTCTGTTTACTTTCCTGCCCACCCATGTGTGAGTGCGTGTGTGTGCGTGTATGTGAATGCGAACGAGTACCCCTCCATGTTGCCTACGCACTTCGGTCGCTAGTTCCCGCGTTCCTACTCGCTGATTCTCGTCTCCACTAACTCTATTTGAGCTGTGTGTTGGACGTAGCGTTGCCGCTGGTGCTGTTGGATGACAGGATGTGCGGGCGAGCGCGAAAGACCTTTGTTCATTAGACACAGTCTTCGCAGTCCGCTTTATGCAACAAAAACCCTTTAATTTCCTCTTATTGTCGCTCCCCTGTCCGTCCGTCTGTTAGCCCCATTCCAGCATCGTCTTGGATGCATGGTAGTTTACTAGTTGTGATTCAGCTCTTGCAGTCGCTACTATTGCTATGCAGCCGCGGAAAGCGATTACCTCCGGACTACCACTAAGCAAAAATAGTTTAGAGACCATAATGTGCAGGCTTGCACACCTCTATACACCTCTCGTGCTTGCCTTTAGATGTCCTTCCAATTACATCCTTTGGACCAACTACCTTACCTAATTCAGTCAGAAGACCTGATCCCATCGACAAGAACGGGATAGATGGGTAGACAGCGATGGACCGTGAAGAAAAATGACGAAGGTCATGCCAACAAACGGCAAACCGGACCCACCCTTTGTCTAAGCGTTTTTCCGCTGAGCCAGCTACCGCGCTATACTATATCTGCTACTAAGATACGAGGGGAGAGTGTGAGGCAAAGCGGTCCGCCTTCTACCTCCCACGTTTCCTCTTCCTTGCTGCTTGTCATATGCCTTATCGACTGCTGACAGTTAATCTGCCCCGCAGACACCATGGATACCTTTACATAAAAGGCGCTACTGCGACCGTGTGGAAAGCTTACGTATGCTTGTCAGCGGTCGTCGGTGTATGATGTCTATGAACAATTCTACGCCGTCTCATCCGAGTGCCATTCTAAGCTGTTGGCCGGATGTCATAGCTGTCTTTGAAGTATGCGCATGCAGATGCGCTCGTCTAAGCGTGTAACCGAACGGCAACGCGGCGTTGTGGCGACTGCTGCGCTTCGCCTTCACCAACGGTCGAATGGCGACCTCCGTTCGGTCCCATTGAACAATGAGGCATGCGCTCCATCTCTTTCGCGAGCTGGCTAGGCCTGGCCAGGATATCCTGAGACTCGCCGTTGGTCGACAGAAGTGAGCCACGAATCTGTGCAATGCAATACAATGGCTGGTTGCGCATCCGTACAAAACTGTGTGGGAGCATGGGACTATAGGCGTTGCATGCACTAGCTCGCTGTTAGCAGTAAAGGTCAAGGAGTTGCTTAAGTCTTTCCCTTTGGCCAGTGGTACCAATAAAGCTGGCGCTAGAGGCCATCCAGTGAGAGGCAGCTGAAGTCAGTTTTCCCAGTAACAGGAAGCTGTGATAGGTACAGAAAAAGCACGTCGCCCTACTTTTAGTAGTTGGATACTACTTTGCAGAATAATGCATTCCATCCAAATACAGGACGAGTAAACGGACAGCCACTGTCAGAGAAACTCCGGGTTAGTCCTTCACTTGTCAAAGCGGCTTATGCCCCGTTCTTTGGGAAATGGTTGCTGAAGTTAGCACAGAGGTAAATATGGGTAAAAACAAGAATGGCAAAACACCAGAATTCTTCTTTCTATTGTTAGACAGAACGTGGTCACTCGTTTACACTTAGGGTTACCGCATGGACTCACTAAACACTGAACTAACCATGATAACCAAAAATGACGAACAACTGGTAGGGAGCTCGAAAAAAACTGCGAAAACAAGACAAATCGTTTCCGATTTTTAACTCGCTCACCGCCCCAGCTGAACAGGACAGAAGAGCGGCAATAAAAAGATGGTCATAGCTGCAACCCCCATCACCATCGTAGCGAATCTACGCCGCCGCGAAAACTCCGCACATGGAGCAGCTCCCCAAAGCAAAAAGCGGCAACAAACAGATAGCAGGCAGATGGTGCATGGCATCACCAGCAGCAACATTGACGACTATAGCAATGTCAATGCGTTCAATCAAGGCAGTGTAGCTGCCTCACAACAGGGCAACTTTTCTGCCAAAAGAAACAACATATCTGCTGGCTCTCGCGATTGCCAACCGCACGACCGCCGTATCAGACAAATCACAGTGCACTTGCCATATAGCCTATATTCGCTAGCCACTACGGCCGACAGATAGATGAACGACTGTGTGATTGTATGTAGTTTTTTTTGTTTTTTCGGGACTTCGAGTTCACTCTGCCTTTTCCTATCTTTCTCGCTTTCTGATTTTCGTGACCCTGGTAGCCAATGGTAATGGCTGTGTCACTGACATCAAGAGTTGCAGCTAGTAGCGGTAGTAACTCGTAGGATGGATAGGGGCACAGGGTAGTACAAGGCATTGATCGTTCCTTTGCCGCTGCGCTGTGTCCACACCCCCAACACGTACACAGATCGTGCATTGCAATAGATGATAATTGGATTCATCACTGGACTGTGGAAGCGGTGGAATGGTAGAGCCACGACTGATTAACTTGCCACTTAACCATACACATTCGCGTACGTGTACGATATAGACGCCTGCAAGTAACTGACTCGTCTAGGTTGGATGTAACATAGTATTTCAATTTGCAAGGCCATAAACGAACAAAGCTGATAACACCAGCAGGAGGACAATCGGAAAGGCTGTTCTCACCGTTACCCAAGCTGATCATCGCGTTAAGTTTATTTGGTGTTAGATGGGTAAAAAGGATTTGTACTCCCCTCGATACGTGTTGCGCCAATCACCAGTGAAACCTCTCTCTGCCGCGACGGTAAAGTGGTTTGTCCAATCG